GCCAACCCAAGGATCATAGGTTAAATCGCCAGATGCAGAAGATTTTTCATCCATGATAATCTGACATTTGTCCGGAGCAACTATTACGATACAATTGCCCGTAAATTTTCATTGACGATTTATTAACGAACATTTTGAGACTGTTATCCAACAAGACGTGCTCACAAGGATCACTCAGACACTTTGGGACACTTACCTTCATGTCGACTCATTTTCCGTTTAGAATATCATATACAAGGGAATACAACGGTGCCTCGATGGGTCACACGTTTATTCACGTGATTATATGGATTTTAAATATATTGCACAGATGTTTTATCATCAACACAATGAAAACAATGAACTATTTGAACGAGTGAGTTTTATGGATGAACAGTTTGCACTCGTTGAAAAACATTTAATTCTGTCCAACTAAAATTTATCCTTTTTTTTAACACCACTTGGTTGAGAATTTCCAGCGTAAAACCTAACCCAACTGGGGGCTAGTGTGACGTCACGAGGTGGATAGTGTCACGGAGGAGTCATTTTTTATGGCGAGCGACAGGGTTGCCAGCATCAGCGAGTTTCAAATTTTTTCCGCGGGAAATTCAAAACTCCCGATAGAAAAATGAGATCGCGACGTTAAAGCGAGGAATAACGTGGTAAAAAGATTTCCCGCGGAAAATTCTCGGCGAAAATTCAACGTTTGCGGTGAATCATTTAATTTATCGAGTTTTTAAGTGAGGACCTGTCGATTTGGGGGGGATTTCGAAGATTAATGGTTCTGGAGTCACGGCAAGATGGCGAGTCCTGGGATTCCTTTCGTTCCGCAGGCGTGGCAACGTCGCGCGCAGGAACGAAAAAAGCCGAAATGCAAGGCTCGGGGAAGTCCGGAAGGCCTCGGATAATCTTGAATCGACGATTTTCCTCGGGGAAGGGGCCGTCACTACCCCGTATTTTCGTAAAAAGCCTGTCATTACGTTGAAGAATGGCCACGGTGCTAGGACGTGTGTTTGTTTACGGTGGCAAGGGGGCCCTGGGCTCGGCCTGTGTCGCAAAATTCAAGTCCCAGAATTGGGTGAGTTTGATTTTTCAATTGTTAAGGGAATATTGTCATAACCTTGTTTCATTGAGGCGGCTTGCATGTTTATCAGCGACACCTCATCTGACATTTGTAATTGCGGCAACTTGTTGATTATCCGGTGAATGAAGGGAACATGTTGTCTTGGGGGAAAGTTTCTTGGGTTTATTCAAATTGTTGGGTGGACTAGTTTTGATTCACGTTATGGTATTTTATTCGCGGGGGATTGAGGGAAGTGAAGGGTATAAGAGGCTTTGAAGGCTGATGGATAATAGACCAGAACCTCTCACTTTCATAAATAACGGCTTATTGCTGACAGATATATTGTGATAATCTTTAGGTGTTGCAACGAACTGTTTTTTTGATGATTTACCAGTTCCGACGAATGTCAGCGCAATTGTTTCTAATTGTCTCCATTTCAGTTCGATAATATACGTTAAGAGGCAACAGAATGCTGATAATGTTCCAAATTTTTTAACAAATTTCTTTCCGGAAGTTATCGATTTAAAAAAAAAATCGAAGCGCATTAATCTCCAGGAAGTGATGATGATGATCAATGTGCTCTGGGTTCGAAAAATATTAACAACTTTGAGCAGGAAATTTGTTTGGAAATTTCGAAAATACGGTGGCCTTCCTTATTCCTTAAATTACACAAAATGAGCGCGCATGTAATCCTATATCTCAATAATTGCTATCAATTCTTTATAAACAACCGTCTCCATTTTGTACGGACCGTATGGTCCACAATCTTATTTGAATAAATTATTATACTCTATTTTAATAATTGGTTGAGTAGGAGAAAAACGAAGATTTCGTATTAGTTTTCAAATTTTTTGTTATTATTGTGAACGAGTTGAGTGAATTATCCACTTCCCCTCCCCTTGCATCAGAATCAGAAGTATGAAGTTTGAATGGTTGCTAAGAGTTATTGAGTTGGGAGAGAATGCGATTTGTTTTTCTCTCTATTGTTTGAATATAACATAATAAATCGCCGCTTTTCCCTTATGACTTCAATTAAGCTGAGTCTGATCTTTACATTATGAATTCCTACTGCAAATACTTTGCATTCCACACTTCAGTCCAACTAATGTGTACAGATGTATTATTACTCAAATAAATTTTGGAATAGAACTATCAGAATATTCTGTCATCTTATGTACTACTTCTCCCCTAGCGATGGGCAATGTATCCTTTATGCAATAAAATATAATAATAATAATAAAATTGTGAAATTATAGGATAGGTGTCAGTTAGACAAAGATCCAGAGCCTTAGTTTTATGAATAATTCGATGTGAAATCGTCGTCTTGCAGCTTCACTTTTGATACAAAGCCCCCAATTTACTTCAACAACTGTTACTTGCGTTTCGCTCCATCAAGTTGTTACAAATTCTCCGCAAGGAGATAAACCCGCACGGCTTCCGCGATAAAAAGCACGAAAAATAAAACATTATGTAAGACATCGGTAGAAATACATCATCAATCAAGAATGAGCTCTATGGTTCCCGGATTTCTTTTCCCTGTGAAGAATCCTGTTGCAAAAAATCGCGGAAAACATTTTCCCAAGATAAGTTCCTATGTCTCAAGAAAAAAACCATGTGAATTTTCCCGGAAAAATATTAAATCAGGCACATATTTGAAGGCAGCATCAATTTTATCTTATTAAGAATGAAATCACGTTGGATTTAAAATTTACGTATCAACATTGGTCGGTAAACAACGAGTTGATTAAGCAATCGCGAATGAAAAAAGACGATGTTTCTCATCAACTTTTTCATTTTTTCCCTTCTACGAGAAAAAAAAGAAATTCAATTAGCATTTTCTGAAAAAAAAAACCCAAGCAAAATCCCACATGGAAAAAATTACTAACGCAAATTAATTTTAAGGGAAAGAATTCGCCGAGGAAACATTGCCGGGAAAAAATGTCCGGAAATTTTTCAACGGGGAAATAAACCCTGGCCACCGAGTTTTCCATATCGTACCATTATCCCGATAATCTTTCTCCGAAAGACTCTTCTAATTATAATTTCTAGTGGGTCGGAAGCATTGATATGAAAGCTAATGACGCTGCTGACGCGAATGTTATCGTGAAGGGTGAGCATAGCTGGAAGGAGCAGGTAATTATCTCAATGTCCTTCGCATTCTTCGCGAGGGCATGAATATGAAGTAGCTAATGTAGGATTTGTCCTCCGGATTTAGGAAGCGCATATACTGGATCAAGTTAAGGAGATTCTGAATGGCGAGAAGGTGGATGGGGTTATCTGCGTCGCTGGCGGGTGGGCCGGGGGTAATGCCGCCAGCAAGGACTTCTTAAAGAATACGGAGCTTATGTGGAAGCAGAGTGTCTGGAGTTCCACGATTGCCGCTAGCATTGCAGCTCATTATTTGAAGGAAGGAGGGTTCTTGTCGTTGACTGGGGCTAAGGCTGCGTTGGAGGGAACTCCTGGTGAGCCTTCTGATCGAAAAAATTGCATGGAAAAACATTTCGCGTTTTTGCAAATGGTCGATTCTATTGAAGAATTCCGGAGCTAAATTCGCGAAAGTTTCCGCTCTATCTTTCCCTTCTTTGCATTGAAAAATGAAACGAAAAAATAAGAAAACTTGAAGCGAAAAAATTCTACAGAGATAAAACCAGTCAAAAACTAATAGAAAGGTTAATAGAAATCTAATAGAATTTTCTAGGGAATTCGCTAGGTGTTTCTATGAAATTTTTTCATACGTGTTTGTGAATTATTTCCAGGGATGATTGGGTATGGAATGGCCAAGGCTGCAGTCCACCAATTGACCAAGTCCCTAGCAGCTAAAGACAGCGGTCTCCCAGAGAACTCACTAGTCACTGCGATCCTCCCTGTGACCCTCGACACCCCCATGAACAGAAAGTGGATGCCTAAAGCTGATACCTCCACGTGGACCCCTCTTGATTTCATATCCGAGTGAGTCCAAAAGTTTTCATAATTCTATTGACATATTTTCTGCAGAAATTCCTCGGTTCAAATTTTCTCATTTTTTTGTTTGTTTTTTTTCCAATGAAAAAAGAAGAAAAATCTGCAAAATTCATGCCGAGGAATTCCTGTAGACAATGTTTCGATGGGAAAATTTGTATAGAAAAACCAATTCTTTCTGATTTTTTAATAATTTAGTTTCTATTGATCATTTTGGAATTATTTAATATAAATGAAATAGAATTTTCTAGCAAATTCGCCAGGTTTTCCTGTAAAATTTAATGAGAAAGTAATGAATTGTGCTTACAGCCTCTTCTGGAAGTGGTCTCAGAACGAAGAGCGCCCAAAGAGTGGAGAACTCCTCCAACTGATAACCAAGGACAACAAAACCGAGATCACATCCGCCTAAGAACACCCGCAATAAAGAGGCAACAATATGGCTAGTCCACATGACATGACATTTATTGAAAACATAAAAAATACAGTAACTCTATTACAAATTTACAAAAATTCATTCAGTTTCACCCGTATCAATGAATTGCCGTTGGAGTTACTCATGTTTGTTTTTTTTTCAACATTTTTTATGAGAAGTTGGGAAGAAGGCAGTTACGTTTGTACGTGATACTCAGTTCTTTCATAAAGTTTTTTTATGCATTTTGTACAGTACGAAAAGTCCTATGAAGTTGTGTATTAAAAATTGGTTCAATACATCGCTGTATTCAATAAAATCTCAGTCGCAACCACCATCACCACCACAATCCCCATCACCTCCAGCATCTCCAATATCAGTCCCTCCGGATAAGTCGTACGTTTCATGATTGCCATTATACGTGCTATTATAGAAGTGATTCAAAAATAGCATCGGTCCCACTGTAATTTTGTGGAATACCTTTAAAATACTGGATGATTAATCACAAGCCGTACATAAAGTTGTTGGTATACACTGATAGAAGTAATTAATATTATTGAGATGTTTTTTTCATGGAACAAGTATTATATGGTTGAACAAATTCCAAATAAATGAGAGCTTACGGTGAATATTGATTGTTTCTTTTTGAATTTATAGCGAGAATGGGAAAGTTCACGTATGAAAGCAATTTATACTGAATTTCTATTGGAATTCTATTGAAAGATTCTATTTGTTTTTGCGCCAATTCTAAATAAATATTTGTTTATAGAAAAATATCCATAGATGTTGATTTTTCTGTATAACTTATTCTGTCGGGATTGTTTTTATAAGATTTCTTGAGCATGATTTTTCCAAGTTTTTCTTCTGAGATTTTATTACGAGAAATAAATAAAAATACGACGGAAAAAACTCAGAAAACTTACTATGGAGAACTATTTACTAGAAATTATAATAATTTCTATAGAAAAATAGAAATCTATTGACTTTTTCTGCCAAATATCTATTAACAAAATAATACGGTAAAGTTGCATTATCTTCTATCAAAATGGCGCAAAAAACAAGTAGAATTTTCTAATACAATTCTAAAAGAACTTCAAGAGAATTATAGAGTTCTAATAGAAATTAAATAGAATTAAATTTTAGTCACACGTGTTCTGTCATAAATTGATACATCAATGAGTAAATTAAATGTTGTTTTCTCGAATGAAGACGATCTTTAAATTGAGCTTTCCGTGTGCCGCATTGAACGGAATTTGTAATATTCAAATTTGTGTACAAGTGCCGTAATCTGTGATTTTATTATTCTAAATTAATGGAATTTTTTTCTGATGAAGAAACACAAACTTGTTTCAATTCAACGACATCTCACTGCAATCTCAAAGTCTTTTCGCGTAAATATTCATTCTGATTCGACATACGAAATGCTCAGTTCAATTATAATTCACTTGGAACATATTCTGTCGTAAGTATAATTTTAGTTTTTGCGTACACCAAAGAATTTTCGGAGACAGTAAAATTTTACGTTAGAAAGAGATCAAATATTCTCATTCCTGCGCCAAATAAAATGAACTCGCATTCTCGAGCAGTTCTATCCTCTCAATCGAATGCATCTCAAGGATAACTAGTATCCACAAAAAATCGCATCAATTTGAAAATTAACAACTAAATAATAGCTGGTTCAAATGAAATTACCACGTTAAAATTAATGATTTCTGTCAGTGTATTAAAATTCCAAAGCCAAACTTACTATCGACGACTCCGTCAGCTCTCGGATCGTAAGGCTTTTGCAAATCTCTATTCCCAGAAGATGTCATAAAATCCTCTTCACTCTCGATACAGCACATGAAGAATGCCGAGCAGCATATCAAAAAAATTATAATCACAAAGATCCATGCAACTAGTCCGAGGTTCTCTAGGCCGAATGTCATTATTCTATAGTTTTTGCGTCTTTTTATGACGAGTGAAATTCCCTCCCTCAAACGCACCCGCCACGATTGATTAATTTTGGTAATAGATAAACAAAACATGGGGCTTTAGCATTTTACCAATTTTTTGGGGGGAAAAGACGGACTCTCTCATGTCACCATTGGGACGATTACCTTGAGCAATTGGTTTTTTATGTCTTATTCAGTCTAATTGGGCGCGATTGACTTGGAAGTGGACGCTACGGAAGTTATTTGATAACCGAGGCGATTCACGCTGGCTGTCCTTGCAGAACTGAGGTCGTGTGTAAACCCCACCCACGGAGTGGGGCACTTATAACCCACCCCTTGATAGAAAAAAAAAGCGTTAGGAAACGGAGAGTGCGTAAGGGTGAATTGGAGTTGATGCAGTAGACATTTTCTTTATCCACGTTTGTTCTGCATTTTATGGGGTACGAGGGTGGTGATGCGGAATGTACATGGGGTTTTGTGTTTTGATTGCTGATACGGGGGGTGGGGGAGGGGCAGATGCTGGGGCGGGCGGAAAAATTGTTGAGATCCGAACGAGTACGAGAAAAATTTTATGCGAAAATTCGATAGCGAATTCGCTAGAAAATTCTAATGGAGTTCTATTGAAATTCCATTGAAATCATCAATAATTAGTTAAAATATCGCAGAAAATGTCCAATATTACATAGAAAATATCTGTCTGTTCAACTTTTTTTTTCTCTGCTCCATTTGTTTTCCAACGTTAAAAAATTGAAAAATGGAAATTTGATCCGAGAAGTTTCCATAGAAAATGTCCTAAGTTGCATAGAAAATTTGAATTTTTCTTCTGATCGATCTGGTTATATCCTCTAACTGCTGAAGAGGCAAGAGCCATCGAAAATTGGAATTTATTGATTTTTTTAATAGAATATTTCAAGCCTCGACCGGGCCAAATTGCACACCATTTTTTCATCACAATTTTCCACATAATATTCATCTGAGAATTCCACACAATTTTCCAATATAATATTCCATAGAGGTTTGAATTGAGAAATGCAATTCTCATTCAATATTCCCGGATTAAAAACGGTATCCTAGAACTGAGGCAATGAAAAATTCGATAGCCAATTCGATAGAAAATTCTACAGGATTTCTATTGCAATTCCATTGAAATCGCCAAGAATTAGTAAAGAATTTCGCAGAAAATGTCCAATAGAAAATATTTTACAGAAAAAATCAGGCCAAATTCATCTTTCCGTTCAACTTTTTTAATGGAAATTTGACCCGCGGGATTTCTATAGAAAATATCCGAATAAGTTGTCAGAAAATTTGAATTCAGTGATTTTTTCAATAGAATAATTCGAGCCTCGACTGGGCCAAATTGCACACCAGTTTTTCTTCACAATTGTCCACATAATATTCATCTGAAAATTCCACACAATTTTCAAATCTAATATTCCACAGAGGTTTGAACTGAGAAATCCAATTCTCATTCAACATTTTCGGGCAAAGGCAGAGACAGGTAATGAAGCAACTTTAATAAAATCTATAATCTAAGGATAATTTATTTCAGAATTTTGGATTCTGGAAACGAAGGCTGATGGTATCCAGCAGAAGAAATGAGAAGTTGTTTCCTATTCACATGGCAAAACATCTTATATAATTTCTTTAATCAGGATGAAATGTACTAGAAGAGGTGAGTGATCTACTTCATCATTGCTTCAAGACTCGCCATCTCAGCTGAAAAAAAGGCATATTATAGTGAAGTGTCACTGCCATTATCCTTGTTGTTTCAAACTGACATACCCGCGGATGCACGTTTCTTCTCCTCAGCCAACTGTTTGTCCCTGATCACTTTCTTCTTGGCTTCCACTTCACGCCAGGCGGTTTCCTTCTTGCTCAATCGATTCTGGTGGAAGGCACCGTAGAGAATACCCGATACGAGCATACCCCATCGTCCGAACTTCATTAAAGGGGAATTTTAAATTATTGTTGATATTGTATTGGAATTAATTATTATTGTTTTAATGGAATTTCGCCATCGTCTGAGTTTTCACATTTGATATGCACAATGTTCTGGCCGAAATGAGTACATGAAGAGCGTTCAAATTAATTTCACGACATTTCACGTGTCAAGAAAATTAATAGAAAAATCTAGCGTTTTCTCTAAGAAATTGTATTGAATTTCTATTGGAACTCTATAAGAATTCTATTGAAAAATTTTATTTGCTTTTTGCGGTAATTCTATTCAAAATTGCATCTGTGTTTGAATTTTATGTGCGAGGTGTAGAAAGGAGTAAAAAAAATTCAATAAAAGAAAGCTTGAAATGAGATTGCAATGTTTAATCAATCTCCAGAAACTTGAGAACAAGTGATTTTGGAAATTATTTTGATAGGTAATTCTTCGAAATAATTAGCTATTAATATAATTTCCTATTAATTATTGGTAATTACCTATCAAAATAATTGTTAATTTTTCCATAATTAAATTATTTTAATAGTTCCTTATTAAAAATTAATAGGAAATTATATTAATAGTTAATTCTGCGTTTTTTTTTGAGACAGGAATAACAATTGGATGAAGTGAGGTTAGGATTACACTCACAGCACTTTTATTAACTTCTCTCGTTAGGAATTGTATATTAAAAAAACCTCAATGATAACTATGATGAGAAAAAAGCAGAATTTGATGATTTTTTTTCAACGATTGCAATCACGAATTCTATCCGATAGTGTTTTTATAAAATTATGTAATGAGATGAGGGGTTCGGAATGACAATTGTCGGCCATGAAACAATTGATTGTTGAATTTATGGGTGCAGTGTCTCGAGTAGTTCAGCGATATTGTGAATAATAAAAAATTTTTGTGACTGTAACATTGTTGCTTATTTACCTTGATCAAAGGGGACACCCTCACGGGCCTTGGATTCAGCTCGACCGACGACATTTTTTCTCGTGCACAGGGGAAGCAGAATTCCGGATTCTGAGGAAACGAATCGAATGGAAAATTCGAGCAAGCGCCATCTTCGTAGGGATGAGCCACGCAGTCGGTGAAGAAGAATTTCCTTGGTAAAGGCGGAGAATTGAGCCGGGATAAAAATTGCATATCCAATTTTGTGAATCATGCAAAAATTTCACGGAAAAAACTAGTGAATTCTCTAAAAAATTTTATTGAACTTTCCGCTTTTCGAAAATTCTATTGAAGTTTAATTCTTTGAATTAGTTTTTAGCTTATCCGCGCGATTTTTTTAATAGAAATGTTCAATGGCAAAAATTCTATAAAATAACTTATTCTTTGGAGATATTTTCCATAGAAATTCCTCGGCTTAAATTTTCAAAGGTTTTTTCTCTTGATTTTTTAATGAGAAGTGGAGAAAAATACAGTGTAAATATGAAATATCACAGGGACGAGGTCATTACCGAAGCCATTCATCTGGATAAAACGATCTTTAGACCCTTCCCAGGGAATAAAGTTCAACTTTACTGTTTTAATTCTCCAATGAGAGTGAAATGGAAAATTCGAGGAAACGCCATCTTCGTAGGGAAAGAAATTTTCTTGGTAATGGCGAAGAATCGAGTCGGGATAAAAATTAATTCTCCGATTTTGTGAATCACGTACGACAAAATTTCATGGAAAAAACTAGTGAATTCTCTAGGAAAATTCTATTGAACTTTCCTCTTTTCTAAAATCCTATTGATATTTAATTCTTTGAATTAGTTTTTAGCTTATACGCGCGTTTTTTAAATATAAATGTTCAGTAGTAATACCACTAGTGCTTCAAAATTATCGGATATTTTCCGATAGCTTCGTTGCCTAGGAACGATTATGTTAAATTTTGCAGAAAAATCCCTCGTGCTTCGCACTGGGGATTTTAAACCTGCAAAATTTGACACACTCGTTCCTACGCAGGGAAGCTTGAGGAAAATATCCGATTAATTTTGAAGCACGAGTGGTATTTGACGGATCATTTTTCCACTCGGATTTCGGCCAAGCAGAGTGCAGTGAATAGCATCCGGATGCATTTACACAGGCATACATTTACAACCCACTTTTTTGTTTATCTGTCACACAGAATATTAAACGTGAAATGCGTTGAAAAATGTGAAACATTTGAAAAGCTACTAGTGAATTTCCGTCGAAAATTTTTTAGAAATTTCCGCTCTGATTGGCTGAAATCCGAGGGAGAAACATAATCAATAGAAAATATTCTATAGAATAAATCAATAGAATTGGATTTTTCTATACAACCGATTCTATTGAGATATTTTCTATAGGAATCCACGGCTTAAATTTTAAAAGGATTTTACGTTTGATTTTTTAATGAGAAGTGGAAAAAAATATAGTGTAAATATAAACATCACAGGGACAAGGTAATTACCGAAGCCATTCATCTGGATAAAACGATCGTTAGACCCTTCCAGGGAATAAAGTTCAACTTCACCACTTTTTTAGTTCTCCAATAAGAGCAAAAATAAAGAACAATCTCCATCAGACCAATATTCATCAGCTTCATGAAGATAGGAGAAAAGAGTTTCGCTGCATCAGGAAACAAAATCGTTCAACCACCCAAAGTGACTTTAGATTTAATTAATATCAATAAAGGTCCTTGAGTAATTACTTTTTCGTCATACCAGTGCCCACTCTTCAACGTGACTCCACTCATGAAAGAATTTCGTGGGAAAACTTAACGAATTCAGTAGAAAATTTTGTTGGATTTCCATTGAACTTTTATTGAAAATTCTATTAGTTATTGGGTGATTGTATTGGAACAATTCCACACTTTTACTGTGCATTTTTCTCACTCCATTTTTCTTCTCTTTCTATTAGTTTTTCAATTTTTCCTGAAAAAATTCTGATGAAAAATTAATTTGTTTCGATTAATTAAATAAAAAAGTGATTTGTTTCGATTAACTGATTAAAAACTAAATTTGTCTGATTGTTCTAATAAAAATTGAAAGCTTGACAAATTTGCGACAAGGAATTTCTACAGAAAATATTTCAATAGAATAACGCTAGAAAATTTTATTGACTAGAAATTCAATAAACTTTTTGATATAATTCGCTTCTGATTGGTCCATGAGACGTCGAATACCGCGATTCTATTGTTCAGAAGGGTGATGGGGGAAATAATCCACCAAATTCCCAAGGTTTTTCATTGAAATTTTTTCGTATGTCGAATACCATTGCCCACGCCTCAAAGTACCTGCACGCACGAAAGAATTTGAATTTCATTGAAGTATTCCATAAGGTTACTGTTTTTTTCTCACTCCATCTTTCTTTTCTTTGTACTAATTTTTCAATTTTTTGTTTGCAAAAATTCTAATGAAAAATCGATTTGTTTTGATTAATTGAATAAAAACTTAATTTGTTAGATTGTTCCAATAAAAATTGACATCTTCAAAATTCTATAGAAAATATCTCAATAGAATAGCGCTAGAAAATTTGATTATCTAGAAATCCAAAAAAATTTTCCACGCCGAGAAAAAAAAAATTTGCCATGTAAATTTACCACTTGCAAGAAAATCCACACATTTCAAATGCAAATATTTATCTACACTTACTTCTGGCAAGTAAATTTACTTGGCAGGAGTAATTTTTTTTCTCAGTGTAGCAAATTCGCTAACATTTTCACTGAAATTTTGTCGTATGTCGAATACCCCAAAGTGCCATTAGATTTAATTAATATCGATAAAGGTCCTGAAATAATAAATTTCCTATAATACCATCGCCCACTCTCTAAAGTGCCCCTTTAATCTAATACATTCAAAAATGAAGAATTAACCTTCCAGCAACTGGCACGTGGGTCTCACTGCCCTTTCCCATGAAACTTGTGTTCAACCTTCACTGGAACATCACGACAACAAAATAAACAAAATCACCCACCTATCCGCGAGACCCGTGACAGCCTGCGCAGAGGGGTTGTTAGCGAGTGCCGGCGAGATTCGCCGGAGAGCCAGTGCGAGTCGTGGTACCGCGGGGAGAGCCTGATCCACCTACTCCAGTCGTGAATGGAGTGACTGTCGTATTCATGAACGCTGAACTCTCGGAATTTCAATAATTCCTTTGTCACTCGGGATGGGTTGTCGGTTCGCGGCCGGTGTTGGGGCAGTTCATTTAATTTGTCGAGGAAATCATCACATGTAGGATGATAGGGAGAGTCGCGGTGCATGCCACAGGTGCGCGTGGCCGGTGCAATATTCAATATTCGTTTTACCGTGCAATTTTAATGGAAAAATTATAAGTCAGTGTAGTTTGTGAGTAGTTCAATTAATGAATTACAATGAGAGAAAAAATTAATTCTGCCGAAAAATTATGTTCCCTCAGAACAGAATTATGGAGTTCTCTCAGATCAAATGATTGTCGTACAATAGATTATATTTTTTCCTACCAACAATTCGAATTTTTCTAGGGATATTTCTGATGATCGCGACGAAAATTTGATTTTTGTGAAAGATATTAAATTTCCTTCTATCAAGTCGGTTAATTTCTCTGAAGTAAATCTGTTCCACACCTTCAAATGTTCTCACGTGGAACATATAGTTTTTCGACAGAGCTAATTTTGGAATGTAATTATTTGGAATGAGGTAATCACTTGATTTCAATTCATGAGTTTCGCACTTGCATCAGAGTTTCATTTCCCCCCGTTATCCATATTGCCCACCATTCCCTAACCATCTCAAATTTCACCAATTATAAATACTTCGTGATAACTTTACCCAAACAAAAATATCAATGAATTCTGCCTCAAAAGCTCACGGAACTCTTCCGCCTGAATTAAAGCACAACGAACTTAATTAAACGAAATAAGAGACATCACCAGTGAATAAAGCAACGAAAACCCCAAAATGCGAACGTCGCGCTCAGACCTTGACGCTATACCTGACCAGTACCTAGAGACGATAGCTCATTATCTAATGGGCATGAGGAACGACACAGTGGACCTCTCGAAGCCGCAGCTGCGGCCCTCCTTCACCAACAACTATGCCCTTTTTATACTGCTGTACGTTGTGATGATTACCTGCGGCACGATCACCAACATCAGCATGATTTACCACATCATGCGGCATCGGCTCTACCGAGACCCCACGTACGCTTATCTGATCAATATCGCGATATCAGACGTGACAAAATGCATATTCGTGCTACCCATCACTCTGGCGGTATTGCTGGTGCAGAACTGGATATTCGGAAAGTTCCTGTGTTACTTCCTGCCTATGCTTCAGGTGAGACGCTGGGACGTGACTATATCTTTTATTTTTTCCTTTCAAACGACTAGTTCCGCCCGTTCTTCTCGATCCAATGCTTCATCCAAATATTAAAATCTCATAGGAAAATGAATAACCTCACGAAATATGAGGAAATTGCAGAACGCTTCGAATGCTCAAGGCATTCCTCTGCAGGTACAGTTATTGAACACTATAAAAACAAAACGAACAGGATAGTGAGAAAAAATTACAGTTGAATTATTTCATTCAAACCAAAAAATATAAATTAAAACCTGACAATCGCTACTTTTCTAAGAAACCTCATCTCAGTAGTAGAAGAACAGCTAGAGCTAGTCATTTTAAAGGAAGAAATTACGGTCGGAATAATAATTTTATCGATCTTTTATTTTTTCGTTTCACTGTTAGAAAATTACTCCTGAAATTTCAAGTAAAAAGTCTTGAAATTTAGAACAATCACTCGTTCTCACGAAATTTTCATGTATTTTGTTATTGAAAAATCAGTTGAATTCTGAAGTATTCAATAGAATTGCAATTTTCAGATCCACATGATAATGAAAATTATTAAATAATTTGAAAATTCAAGCAGCAATTCTAGGCGTCATTGAAATATCAGTGATAATCTAACATGAAAAATCCAATTATTCTGAATTTCCAACCTGAACGAGGGATTCCATGAACGATTTGATCTTAAATTGAATTCAAATTCACAACATTGAGAAATCAAGTGCAACTATTACTTAATTATCAAAAAATTCCTAACAGTGTTATTGATTGTTGTTATTATTTTTTTTACAATTTTATTCCTGTCCTTTTTTTTTGGATTGAATGTTGTTCCACGATTATCTTTCGCACAGTAAAATTTGCCACGATTTTCTACGTAATTTTTATTCACCTTTTCTCTCCGTGAAATTGCGCTTATATTTTTCCGATAATTCGGTCGATATTCAGCATCTAATTAACAGTAAATTTATCATCCCAATTTGTGGTAAAATGAACTTTGGATTGCAGTCGAATCGGAAACTTTAACTATCCGGGAATGGATGTCTATAATGCAACCAATCATGAACACGACCCCCAATTAGTAGCACCGCATATATAACCACCGTCATGTACCCCTCCTCTCTCAATTGAATTGCCTGTAACTTAAGTTTTTGATTTCAATTATAAACTTTTATCATATCGGCTTGGTGAGAGTCTCCACATTATGAAATATTACGGGAACATAATTCCGTAGAAGTTTATCTCGGCCATAAAATTTCGGCCTACATCCGTCTGCATAAGCGAGGCACAGTTTCATGTTTTTAAAATTACCCAGAGATGACATATTTCGGAATAAAAATCAATGAAAGACGAATTAAATTGTCGATTTGATTCCGCTAGGGTCTTCTAGACAGCTCAATTTAACAAATTAGACCCGAAAATGTGTTCGAATGTCTTAAAATAAAGATTTTTCATCAGCATTTTTTATCACAAAAATTATTTTACCCTTAATTTCGTAGTTCCCTTTGAATTCTGTTTTACAACTTTTTTTTTAATTAAAAAAGAATGAAGTATTTGAAAAAAATTTGAAAAAAAATCGTGAACATGCAGCATTATTAGAATTACATTTTGCACAGAATTATTATTATTTAAAACATTCGATGTTCATACATAAATAATTGAAATTGTTTAAACTTTCGTAAATCTAATTTTTTTAGGCCTGAAATTGATTTCTGATAATAATTTTTATGGTGGAAAATTAATTGTTTACTAATTATTTCATCAATTTTCCTCCAAAAGAAAACTTTCTAATTTTTTTCAGATTTTGAAATGTGTTCTAACGGTTCAATATCGACCTTCAAATTCAGACTCCCAAAGTTTAAATAATAAAATTATTGAAAAATATCTGGAAAATTAGGGTCAAATGAGGCTCAAATGAAAGCTCTGATGTTCGATTAGAAAAGTAGAAAAGAATTTCACTGGCGAGAAAATCAAAGTACTTGGTTATCCTTACTGTCTCAATTTTAGACACCAGTTTATTCAGTGCAGAGAGATTTTCAAAAGAACTCAAGAACTGCAGATGTGACCCTGAATTGCGTATTGCTGCAGGTAATTGAAGGGAATGAGTGCTCTATCATCGGAAAATGAGTGCCATTCGCGCGGAACATGGCACAGATGAACAAGTGTAAACGAAATAAAATTGAAGCCTGTGTAAACCGAAACGAGTAATGTCGAAAGATGGTGTCTATTCGGCTCCAATTTCCCAACAAAGTGGGCTATTAGCGGCGGAAAATTGGTGGAGGGGAAATGGCGCTTGACTCCGGTCATTTTCATTATCTCTGTTTGATCGCGGTGATTATTTTGTGCCAATTCTGGCTTGAATGGCCTGTGATGGGGTTCGCGGAATAATGAAGTGATTGGAGGCCGCGTGCAATTTGGAAATATGAATTGCTATCGAATACAAATGAATCTGTGGACAGAATAATATTGTAGAAATACATTGGCAATAGCCTCAGGGCTTGATGGCATTCGAAAAGCCCAGGGGTGACATATACCACGAGCATTTTCATGTTCCATATGTCATGCTGTTTTTCATTTCAATAATTGGAATCTCGTGCAAATGCACACGCACTCTAGCGGTTCAATCGACTACTAGTTCGGGCAGGTCGCAGAGCTGTCAGCTAGCCGGTTGAACTCGGAGCCGAAACTGTTCTCGCAAGAATAAACATCATTTCGCTCAATGTTTTTATCATTACGATATTTTGTAATAATCGAAGCTAATTGATTCAGTCGAATATTGAGAATAATTACATTTTACTGATCATGGAGTTTGCGGAGAGGAAAAACAAGAATAAAACGTTTTGCAGTGTGTATGGATGAACGGCAAAGTTTGTGGTAATTCAAAAGTTAGATTTTATCGTTTTCCTCGCCAAAACGTGGATTTAGTTGCAATAATTAATAAGTTCGGTGAAGAAGAAATTATTGATAGACGTACGGCTTGGATTAAAATATTGAGAATGGGCAAAAAAGTGTCGAATTCCATGAGAGTTTGTTCTTTACATTTCACTGAAGAGGACTTCTTTTTGGCATGTAAGTAAAAAAGCGATTTTCAATATTAGCTTGGAAATTTATGAATTGAAAAAAATACGACGAAATATATTACTGATTTCTTGAATTACAGCCAGAGCTCAACACGACAATTCAGTAATTACTCACCTGAAGAGAACAAGTGTTCCTTCACTCAATCTGCCTCCTCAATCACCCACAAACAATCGGAATTGTGGAGAGAAATTTTTGTAAATCTTCTCCACCACGAAAACTCTTGGCTCTCGGATGTGTATCAGCAAATTTACAAATCTTATGAATAGAAACTCATTTTATCACAGTCAATTTAATAACAGTAATATATAAAAATGAGGGCTAGCGTGTAACTCCGTGTGCATTTGGCCGTTCGACCTGCCCGTGCTAGTTCTCTATTTCGCCACGAGACGGCTTTATATTAAGCCACGCCTCCGTCAGCGATCCCAATAGAGTTGATTGGATGTGCTAAATTATATGTTCCCCTGAATAGATTTTTTATCGTGTTGAATCAATTTATTTGTGGACAGAAAAGACAGTTTCCACCAAAACACGATTATTTTCGTTGTTGTAATTCTAATAAGAAGAAGATGGCAGTTGCATTCCGTCTGTCAGAAATACGTTTTTAAAACCACTGAAGCCCAAATAACTTGAAGAAACAGAAAACAGGTTCGAGTCAAATTTGATTGCTGGTCAGTGGTCAGTTTCCAATGAATATCTCGGAATCTAAGGCAGATGACAAAATTTTTGTCAGAATCGGTTTTGTCGAGCAAATTGAGCACTGCGAAAAAGGTTTGTTTGGTGAATGACTAGATTTAGGGTGGATGTGGGATGAAAATGTAGAGGGAGTTGTTGGGAAAATTACTGTAGCCGGATTAAAATAAGCACTCTATATTCCTGTGGGATCGAACCACTTGTCAATTAATTTACACTCTTTGGTTTTCAATAGTTGAATGTCTAATTACACTGATAATTGTCTTTCACTGTTAATTCGTTGGGTCACTGAATTTAGACTGGATTTAATCAACACAGGTGATGTACTGAACAAAACGGTGATCTTACAAAGACCGGTGATGTACTTGATTACTAGTGAGCTAGGTGAGGTTCAAGAAGCTACTGTACTCGGTGAGGTGCGATATAAAACTTGTACAGGTGATTTGCCCGAGATAGACTTGTACGGTGAGAGGCTAAGCCTAAACTGATTCGCGCGTGTTTCGGTGACTTATGACTGATGACCCGAAGGGTCCCGGAGATTTTCGAAGTAGGCCGATGGTCGACCAGAATGTTCTGGAATTTTAGTTGCGTTTCAAACAAGGTTATTATAAAAATTACGATGTCTCCCTCAGGTTCGGAGATATTCCGCAAAAACTCAGTTAAGAGTTCAGTCGACTTTAAACCGTCATACCGCTTCACTTCTGAATTCAATAATTTCAATTCCTCCCTGTCATTCGACGCCATGACATCCGTCAATTATTCACCTCCATGAATTATTTCACCCTAAAACCTTCATTCCCCCGAACTTCACTACCACAATCGTAAATCATAAATTTCAACCAACAAAATAAACTTCCGAAACGCGTTAATTGGGATCGAAAATATCGCAGCGTGAAGCATTCAAAATTCCGGTGTCAAAATGCCATATCAATTACAACTGCCATTGTCGCCATATATTCGCTCCCATCGAACTTGCAAACCTTTTAGTTTCCATGAACTATCCCTCCGAAGCGTGAATTCACAGACAACCACGCTATTTTCCAAACAATGGGTAGTTTTCCGGTGAAAAGTTGCGCCAAAACGGAATGGCTCGGTTACTGTTTGCCTCGGAAATGAATTCGTCACTGAGGCATTTCATCCCAGAATTTCGCAGTTACTCGAAATGTTTAGTTCCATTCAGTGTAATTTCCAATTAGTGAAAGATGAAAGTCTGAGCCCCACGTTCT